AGGCCGGGTAAAAGCCAACCGCCACCTATCCAGACCGACCGGTAACTCATCACGGCGCCAGGCGCGCGCAGCAGGCGCTTCAGAAGCACCCGCAAGGCCCGGTTCCTGCGCGGAGGGGTGATGATCTGAGTCAGCCGGACAAAAACAACACCCGAGATAAGAGAAAGCCTATTTTCTGCGACACACCTGAGATTTTTGTGACGCGACTGCAACTTACACTCGCGGATCACACTGGGACCAAAGCCAGTGGCAACACTTTCCTGGCAGAATCCCATCATGGCAGGGGTTGGAAGGGCCCTCTGTGGGTCACCCAGCCCAACCCCCTGCCCAAGCAGGGTCACCCAGAGCAGGCTGCACAGCACCGCGGCCAGGCGGGGCTGGAATATCTCCAGAGAAGGAGACTCCACAGCCTCCCTGGGCAGCCTGGGCCAGGGCTCCGTCACCCTCAGAGGGAAGAAGTTCTTCCTCGGGTTCAGCTGGAGCTTCCTCTGCTTCAGTTTGTGCCCGTTGCCCCTTGTCCTGTCGCTGGGCACCACTGGAAAGAGTCTGGACCCATCCTCCTGACCCCCACCCTGCAGATATTTAAAAGCATTTATAAGGTTCCTAGTCGCAGCCCTGCCCGGGTCCCATCTGAGGTGCAATGCCAAGCCCTGGCGTGCAGCAGGTGGGTTCGCACCTGAGCGTGAGGGACATCCCAGGGGAAGCGTGGTGTACGTACCTTCCAGCCGCCAAATCTAGGCATCGGCAGCCCGCGAAGAGGGTCAGCAGAACTGCACCCGGCCACCATCTCAGGCTGCAGACCCCGCTGCTGCAGTGCGTGTCCAGCGAGCACTGGGAAGGTTACCTTTGAACTTTAAGAACGAAAAGGCCTTTTTTTTTTTTTTTTTTAATTGGAAGCTTAGATTTCTGAGAAGGCGCCTGCTGCCGCAAGGAAACGAACTAAGCTGCCAATTCACAGCGAGCCAGGCCTGGCTGCCCCATGGAACAGCGTTTTGGTATTGGTGAGAACACGACTCATTTCTCCATGCTTGCGACATGGCTGTTCAGCTCCACGCTCACCACGGACAATTTTAAACGCCAGTGCTTATTCCAGTTACACGTGTGATGCTGCAAGTCCTCCAAGCTCTACACAAAGGAGGATTCGAGACCAACGCATTGACTTGAAGACATTAAATTTTATTTACTTCGCTAGCTTGGAAAGTTTTAATGAGAATTTGTGCTTATTCGTCTAATTTTCTTGTACTTAATTATATTTATAGAGCAGTTTTGTATCAAAAGCAATTCACAAATGACATACAAAGTGCATATAAGTGTCTCGCGTGCATAAAACAGCACCAGGTTGCGTTGCGGGACCTGCGAGCTCCCTCAATTCAAAGGGCAATCTCTGTCTCCAGAGGCACACCTTCAGCTTCTAATTAGACCACAGCTCAGCAGAGCATTTTAGCATCTGTTTAAATTCATCCCTGCTTAGTAAAGGAATGAACAGAAAGGAATGGATGGCTGAAAGCCTACGAGAGGGAAAATAGGGCTGAGTACACGGTAACAGAGCAGCATCCTTTTGTGAACAAGTACATGTTTCACAGAAGATACCCCATCCTTAACTGAAGGATAACAGTGATATAAAGACCTATTATAGCGGTGCTTAGATATTTTAAGTCATAGGAAGAATTCTGGTTGTAGTGACTGAGGTTTTCATTTTCATTTGTTCCATAGCACAAACTTTATGAAGTTGTTAGAAGCGTCTGTTACTATTTCTATAGCCATCACGTCCTGGCACACTTACTATTCCACCACCACTGGTTTGCAAATAGTCTTGCAAGGCTACAAAGACAAAACCTAATAAACAGAGAGGATAATAATTTCAGCAGGGCTATCTGTTTTGATAAACGAGAAATCAAATCAGTACATATTTTGGTTTGGTTCAGGCTCAGCTGTATCCAGATTGCTTCAGTCATGGCTGAATTTAAACAGAGAACTGAACTGAGCTTGTTTTGAGCTACCTGAAAACGGTTATGGTGCACCGTGACGAAAGGAGGCGGTTCTGAGCGCAGTTCGGTTTCCTTTTGTCACAGTTTCCTACCCTTAGGATTTGCAGTACCACAGACATTTCGGGCGATACAAGCAGCTTCTGCCCCCGATGGCTGATGTTACAACGGCCCTGCCTTTTCCCCCTGCCCTGGCTCCCCGTTACACGCACGCTGCCCTCCCTCAGTCACGTTCCCGTGTTTGTGAGGCCCTTCACAGGGCCTTGCACCCAGGGATGGGAAAAAGAAGAGGCAGGAGCAGGCTTCCTCAGTAGCAATGAGCTGCTCGCCCGGTGCCTCGTGGGCCTGCAACCTTGTGTGAGCTGCAGAAGGCGTTTGTTGATGATCCCGCTGCTATGATTTATTTTCCACACTTCTGCACTGCCCTTCGGTTGGCACAAGCATTTACGCAGCCATGTGGTGGTCCGGATGGCCTGAAAAGTAACCAAATTTGCTTCTTTATTTCTGAATCAGTCTTCAGCCAGACCAGTGCCCTGTCCAGTTTACTCCGCAGCTGCACAACGGCATGTTCTAGCGATGCGGATGGGACAATGCGGGCATGGGACTGTTTTTTTCAGGGGCGATGCCAACTTAGATCACTCAGAAGTTTGTCACACTATAATCTCAGGTAGCCATCCCCCTAATTTCTCACATTGTCTCACTGCTTAAGAGGTACTACTTGGAAAGTTTTGCGTATTTTTGACATAAATAGTTTCCCACTTAATTCAGTCCTCTAAGACTCCTATTAGGTAAGTCGTTATTCTCTTACAGACAGAAAAAGAACCTCATTACCTGGAATTTTTAAAAAAAGTTAACAGTGCAAGTCCAAGTGAAAGCCAGGGCGGTCTCCAGCGTGCGTAGTGCTCCTGGTAACCGAAGCAGCGCGGCAGATGGAGCGTTCTCTAACTTCACTCCCAGCACGGAACTTGACGTGCAGGAGCCAAGACAGACATTTGTGTCTGGTAATGCCATCTGTGTCTGCAAAACCGCAACGCTTTCGCTGGAGTGCTTTTTGTTTGTAGGGAACACGTTAATGGCAGGCATCGCATACTGCAAACTCTTAGCGTTATGAGAATGCTAAGAACAAGAATGAAACGAAACAATCCCATTTCTAAGCAACAACAGTCATTAATAAAGCATATGAATATTGACAATTCACATAAAAGAATGGGCAGCATGGAAAAAGTGACAGCGCTGACATTTAGCTCCACAATTGAACACGATCTCTTTAACAAGGGCTCACACTCCCTGGGTGCTCACAGCAATAGCTGGGACTAGTGTCTGTACAGGAAAGGGTCAATCTGAATTTCCAAAGATGGAGAAAGCTAATCTCTTGAGGAGTTCATATTTAAACTGGACAAGTTCACGGAAGAGAAATCTCTTGAGAGTCACTAAGCACACAGAAACCACTTCCACCTCAGGACAGCCCCTGCCTGAACTGCAGACAGTGGGAGTTCAGAAGATAATTTACGGGGTGGCATCATTTTACACTCACACTGTTCCTACACTCCTCCCAGGGCATCTATAACAGCAGCCAACAGCAGACAGGAGTGCCACGGATCTTTGTCCTGATCCAGTACAACCTCTCTTGTGCTCCTAGGCTATCTATCAGTGTTTGTTATTGCTTTTATCTTTGGTGCTTCTTCAGACTGACAAGGGTTTTGTGCCAAGAGTGCTGTAAATCAGCTTTCTCTAGGCTTCATGCTAGATGACGCTCACTAGCAACATCCTCATCACTCCAGCTGCATCACCCTTGCCTTTAACTCTCACACATGGTAACTCCTTTTCCCCACATCAAACTCCACTGTCACATTTCAAGCGTGCTTACAGTCTTTCACTGTTTAGCTTCCCTCTACCTATCACATCTACTAGTTTATCAAGCTGTCAACCTCCACCTTCCCTTTGCCAGTGACAGCAACCTCAGTGGCTCTGTGTCTGCTTCTTCATCAGGCATCTCCTTCCTTTCCACCAGGCCATCCCCCACGCATGGGAAAAGCTCCATGTCAAAATCTGTTGAATTGCTACTTCTCTAAAATCCCTCCTTGAAACCTACCATCTGGCATTTCATGATGCAAGTAGCAAACTGCAAGAATATACACTGCTTTTTCTGCTAAATTCTGTTAGTCATGTTGCTACCTTATCCTTGAAGCCATCTCTGCCTTGCTTTGTTTACTTGTTGCATTTTTTTCAGCATCTGGAACGTGCCTGCTCTAAGAAAGAGACCGCTTTCTTTACTTCTTGCCTTGTAGAATCCATGAACCCAGAAGCCCTAACTCATGAGTCAGTTTCTAAGCTCCATCCGATTATTTATAATGTTACTTAGTAGCCACTTGGGAAGAAAGTTACCTGGGTTCTATTTTCTTCTCTTGCCACTGGCTTCTTGTGTGACCTTAGGCAAGTCACTCGGGACATTTCCAAACGCGTACGTGAAATTTGGCATTCCTATCCATATCTAGTTACCCTAATAAGCAGCTTACTCTTTCAGAGCCATGGAGTATCTTTAGCTTCCACCAAAATCACTGGTGCTGAGCATATTGTATGACCAGGTTTCCCCGTGATGCCTGCCACAAAGGCTTTTCTGCTATGGGGACCTTTACCTCCTCAAATGTTTATTTTTACAGAATGAGAGTAAATGCTGCGTATCACTTTATGACTGCACACTCCTTTGTATACGTTAGTAGCAATCTATTTTAGACATTGCAGTGTAGCAACAGTTCCGAGTGATTTGCAAAACCCTAGAGGTCGGTTCGACAGCAGAGCCTGGGATGCCGCCAGCATCAGGTGTGGCTGACAGAAAATGCCTCCGAAACAGAAAGAGCAGTGAGGGGCTTCCAAGATTATATTGGTGTTCATCAGCCATACCCGTCAATAGCTATTACATCATTAACAGTAACACCTATTTCAGTTGTACTAATCCCTATGAAATTTACAGTGAACATTTTCAGGCCCCCAAAGTAGTTTCTTTTGCCAATCACCATATAAAAACAGCTTCAAGGAAGATGCTCAAACAGAACAAACAGTGAGGTGAGGTATACTATCACAACTTGTCCAAAAACTAGAGCCGAGATAGGCAGAAGCAGGACAAACTACTCGTGTGTTGTCTCAAAGCTGCCCTGAGTGGGTCTACTGAAACAAGAAACGCAGCCTACGGGGTCAGTGCAGTGTTTGATCTTGCTGTGGGAAAAGGCAACAGAAAAGTAAACTGGCATGAAGGGCGGCAACAGTTTTTGGGGAGACATACACCACTAAAAATGGACTTCAAGTTCATTTCATAAAACATCTCAGCTAATAACTTTTCAGCCATTAGTCTAGAACCTGAGAAGGATCTGAACCCAGCCTACAAAAGGACTTTGATTATACTGTGCAAACTGTACAACGTATCTGTACCCTGTGCAGCGATTTCTTTGGGCAGCCCTTTTGGAGAATTTACTATTTAAGGTCAATCTGCCATTTTCAGAACAAAGTTGCTCAAAACTGAAAAATAAAGATACACTATTCAAAGGGATTTGGTTAAAGATTCCATTCAGCAAACTGTAGATTATGCCTCAATTAAAAATATTTAGAACAAAATGCTTTGAGTGCTTTTAAAATTAGTATTTAGAACAGAATAGTCCTCTCAAAGATTCTAACCATAGGCTTTAAGAACATGAAGTATCCACAAAGTTCTCAGAAACAAAGTTGTTCTCCTTAAAAGCTGGTACAGTCTATCGGTAGGTATCACACAGCTCTAGCAGGTCAGCCACACTAAACCCCCTCCTGCTCACTGAAAAATAAATAAATCGTTATTTCCTCTCCTACCAGCTTTGAAATTCAAAACGAATTAATTAAGAAGGTCAAGAATAGAGCTTTTTAAAGACTTAAACTTACTTTTTCACTTTGGGGTATTTCATCTCTGAAATGGCATTGGTAGCATCCGTCTGTCTCTCCTTCAAATGCTGTGGCCACATATTATCCACCCAGTCGACTAAGTCCACCTGAAAGTCCCATCAAAAGCAACTGTTAATCACGGGACACACGGTAGGATATACCCCTGTTGGCTAGAACTCTGACAATGCCAGCAGCAGACACTCACAAACAGCAAGAACCTTCCCACTCAGCAAGGGTCCTGTGGACCCAACTTGATACAGTGGCAGCACTTCATCACCACAACTCAGCCCTTTGCAACCCAGAACAAGGACAGTTTTGCAGTCAATTTAACTGGGTGCAGATTCTGACCTCTGGGCACCTGTGAGCACCTTCTCTTGCAGCATCACCTGCTGTCTGCATTCAAATGCATTTCTGTAGCCAATAGCCTAGAAATTGCGTTTCTGAACATTAGCATACAAACGTAAAACAGATGATACTGTTCCAATAACTTGCATTTCAAGGAACATTAACATCATTGTTCTGGTCGAATTCTGATTTGAGGAGTTACATTATCTCCTCCTGTGCATTTCCTTCATCATTCTGCTGGGGTATAAATTCACCAAACTTGTTTCCAAGAGCCAAACTTACAGGAAGCGTGGGCAGGAGAAAACAGCAGAAGCCGAGCAATTGGAAACACACTGCCAGCAAGGTGAGGAAGAGAGAGAAACCGAAAATTGTTCAGGGACATTGAAACACAGCTCCTGTGCTGGGTGCTAGAGCATGAACCGCAATCTGTCCATCAGAGCCCCAGCAAGGAGAAGCCTGTGGCTCACTCGTCGGTCTGTTTCGCGTTGGCGCCGGTGCCAGACAGCCAGAACACTCCCTTCGCGTTGTGCAAGCGCATCGCATGCGCCAGGTTTCCAACCCGGGGAAAACCGCCGCCAGCGCGGGCAGCCCAGCGAGGCAGGCTGTAGTGCTGCCTTGGGCCACGGTGTGGCTGCACATCCCGACCCGGCTCAGAAAATCGCCATGTGCGAACGAACCTCCACTTACGGGTCAAGAAGGACCGCAAGACCTAGGCTAGGCGTTGGTGACAAAGCTCTCCTCTGGCTGCGCGCAGCAAGAACGGAGAAGTCAGTTCAGTCACGGTTAGCACCTTGCTTAGCCTCCTGACTGCTAAGTCTTTCTAAAAGCCCACTCAGGAATGTTGTTCGTGTGAGTCAACTCAACCGTTTGTAGCCCCAGAGGGTTTTCATAACAGGGCAATTAGCACATGAAATTCTTGCACATTTGGGCTGACCCCTATCTATTTCTCCATCTGCGCCAGGTTGGTAACACAGGGTACTTTGAGAAGAGGCAAAAGGAGATAATGCAGCCAGTAGAGACAGTACCAATTCCACGAATATCACAGCTGTATGTGAAAACAAAATTGATGGTTATTGCCCTGATTCTGAAATAACTCTCATATCCTGATGCTGCAACCTACAGTCTTTACACAACAAGGGACATGAATCAAGTATTTCTGCCTTACCTGGGCTGAAAGAGCTCTGCAGAATTCAAGGGATCCACTTACACAAACATAGTATTCAACTAGTAACTGACTTTATGCACTGGACTTTCTCTGAGCCTCCAGCACCTTCCCTTCTATTCCCCAGTACCTAATGGGAACGCAAAGCTCTCTTTCAGTGACATCTAAATATCCCTTGTTTTACAAACGACTGAGCATTCAGGCCATACTAACAGATATGAAGTACTCACATGTGGTGTAAAGGTACATGTACAGGTACCTAATTGCATTTTTCAGTCCTGAGCACTCAGGAAATTTGCACTGATGTTTTAAAGGCTCACCAAGCATGATGTGGTTGGGAACACGGGGATCAGCTGAACACCACAAACTCCCCAGAGCACTTCCAAACTGCCCGCTAGCTTATGAATGACAGCAAAAACCTGCACAAACTTCTAAATATGTGCTTAATATTCAATTTGTGATATGTGTGTAAGAGAACACAAAAGCCTACTTAAGAATTACTTCTACAAATCAGCAATTAGAGCTGCCATCTATTTTTGACCTGATGAGGCGTAAGTGTGGTGTTTATATTGTCTACATAGGCAAGAGATGTCCCCAGCAAAAAAACTACTGGTGTAACTAGAATAGCATGTAGAAATGAGGGGAAAAGTGTCTGAAAACAAAACCATCACAGAGCTATAGTTTCACACCCCGCAGTGCCTTGAGCATCCGGTGCCATGAGCAGATACAGAGGGAAGAAGCAGCACCTGTGTTCTGCTTTTAGAAGTCCCTTTGTTCCCTCATGAACCAGGACCGATGCCCAATGTCCCTACCCAGTGTCCTAAGGAGACACTCTGAAACCTCCAAAGCCATTTCCTCCATCCCTGTGTATTATTGAATTGATGCTCTGATCCTCACCCACATATGGCTACACTTTAGTGATAAATGAAATTATCTTTATTAACAAGGTCATGGTTTCACTGCTGGTGACTCCATTGGGAAATAAAAATCACAAGAGCCCTCTATCTTTAAAGAATGTGTACAAATCTACCCCCTTGCCCTGACACTGCCAATTCTGACACAGCAGTAATTATGCTGATTTAATTATGTATAAATTTCCACATTGTCCTGGTGTTGGCTGGGATAGAGTTAATTTTCCTCTCAGTGTTTTGGATTTAGCACAAGAAGAATGTTGATAACACCAGTGTTTTTAGTTGTTGCTAAGAAATCAAGGACTTTTTCCAGTCTCCCATACTCAGCTAACGAGCAGGTGTGCAGGAGCTGGGAGGGAGCACAGCCAGGCAGCTAGCCCAGGCTGGTTGATGGAAATACTCCGTACCATGGATGTTATGCTCACTTTATAAATGGAGGTTGGCTGGGGGGCAAGCAATCTTCTCTTTTTCGTGAGTTCAGATCCTCTCTTGTCCGAGCGTTTTAACTTTTCCAGGAGTTTGGGTGTTTTTTCTGTGAGTTTGGTGAGGTATATGAAATCCATGAATTTGGTGAAATTTGCAAAATCCACGAGTTCCGGGTTCTGAGATGGCTGCTCAGGGACTGGCTGCGAATCAGTCTCAGGGGGTGAGAAAAACTGCATTGTGTATAGTTTGTTTTGCATATTCATTGTTATTGTTGTTGTTGTCAGTATCAGTATTTCCTTTGTTGTCTTATTAAACTCTCTATCTCAACCCAGGAGGTTTTACCTTTTGTCCATTCTCCTCCCGTCCCGCTGGGGGGGAAGGGGAGGAGTGAGCGAGTGGCTGTCTAGTGCTTAGTTGACAGCTGCCGGGTTAAACCATGACATACATTTAATACATGACATTTCAACTTTTTTTGCTTTGGAGCCCCCTGAACATATTTTAGTTAATGAGAGGGTTCATATATAAGGAAATTAAGCTTCCTGATAATAGCTTTAAATTTCTTCCTTCTTAGAGGAGGAAAAACAATAGACAGATATTTTATTTCAGAAGGAATTTCCCCAAAATACCTCGAGATGAACTGGGTATCTGTGCAAACTGCATGATTCAGAGCTCATCAGGTACCTAATTCCTGTAAATTAAGTTCTACTGACAAGGAGACCAGCTTTCTACATGGGTAAAAAATGAGATCCTAACACTCAGGACAGGAGTTACAGGTACTTCACATCACCTTGTTTAAACTCCATGTTTTATTTCTTACAAAGCAACCGACGACTGGCAAGAAGCTGAAAATAAACACCGTCACCACAGGATCCCTTACCACATTGGGGCGCTTGACAATGTTCTCCAGCTTCGTGTGACTGAACTCCAGGCTGATGACATTGTAGAGTTTTTCACGCTGGGCCTCTGGTGTTTCATAGTATCTCACAAACTGAGACATGCTCATTTCAACACCCTTCTGGGTATTCACATCCATCACGTCCACTATCCGTCGGCTTCCTGCAAACACACAGAAGACACTCTCAAAACATTTATCTTTGCTTTATTTATTTATATACAGAGTTATACATATATTATTATATACCTGTAAAAATCCTCAATGACTGCAGGGAAACTATTATTAGAGGATGAGAGACCAGCATCAGCCCCTCCACGGCTCCTGAGCAGCTCCAACAGTGAGCAGGGAACTACCTTGGAAGCGGACTCTGTGTCCAACGTGACAGTGAACAACTCACTTGGTGTCTCTGCTTCGGAGGTATGGAGAGTTTCCTCCTTCACGTGAACCGACATGAGCAGAAGTACATTAGAAACTATGAAGAAGCGATATAATATGGTAGCGGAGGGCATGGCAAGACAAATAGCTCTCCAAATCATACTGTGCAATTTTCTAAGCATCCATATGCCTCTCAAGATGCTTTTACTCATGTACAAAAATTATCCATAAAGAACAAACTGCCTTGCATCACCGGATACTATAAACTGCTGAACACCTTATACAGATTGCTGGGCATTCTCAATTCCAGTCATCGGCAGTGGAGATGAAAGCACGAAATGCCATAGAAGAGCGAGCCCCCACCTTGGATCGCTCAACAAAAACTACAGGACATACTTTCAGCTTCTCGAGTGGCAGACATACAAGTCTCATTAGCACCAGAATGTTGAACAGCAGTTTCAGTCAAGCCTTCAGCTTTACACAGATTAATCCACAATCTTCTCTTTGGCCAACTGGAAGGTTTCACCCCTCCCAGCAATTTCATCATCCTAATTAGCAGTTCATTTGTGTGTGAGTGAACAGGAGCCCATGAGAGACATGCCTCATTTCCAGGAGAGAAGGATTCCAGCAAACAAACTCGCAACGCTTCCAAAAAATCACTCCAAAACCACTTTCACTGCTGAAGAAATAACTCCAAATAAATTGCATTCAAACAAAATGGAGAGCCAATATATGCCATCAGAGGGAATTATTAATAATTACAGCACCTGGCCTATTGCGTGCTTGGGAGCAGCATTTCAGCAAGGATGACAGTTTGGATTGCATCACCCCATTAAAACCATCCTTAGCTGCTGATAGCAATGACAGTGAGAGATGTGATAACCATTCTGGAAAGGAACTCAAGACCGTAAAGTTTTTTATTCAAAAAGAAAAATTTATACAGTGTAAATGTGGAGTAGTCCCACTGGCCCGTCAGCCGAACTCTTCACTGCAAGGCCGGTGAGCAGGATTCCATCCTCGGCCTGAGCTGGGACTGCACCTAGCATTGCCACCTTGAGGCAGGATGGGGAGAAAGTTTAGTCATGTGTGAAGAAGAACAAGAGTCCCTAAATCTGGTATATGCATGTTTGAAACAACGTGCATAAAATCTAGTTTTGGGCTGGGGTTTTTTTGTTGTTATTTTTTAACTGTTAACTTTACTATCTAGGGAGAACAGTCTTTTTTTCAACTCACTAGGTTAGCAAATGGGGTACAGTCCTGTCAAACAGGCTCCGAATAAAAGCCAGAATGATTTCTGGCTTCCAGTGCCTGGGGTTAAAGCAGTGGCTACAGCCCAGAGGGGTTAAGTACACAGATAGCGAAAAATCATATTTGAAGGACTGCGTGGCAGAGTCTGGGATCTGCCACATTATAGTCTAGGTTTGATCGCAGGTTTGCTGGAAGCGACCTTGTACAGCCTCTCAATTATACTTTCTGAAAGAAAAATCAGCAGTTACCTGATGAATCAAAAATACGAGGCCCAGTTCAATAGCAGGTTTGTTAAATGTACATGATTATCAATTATGGGCAGAAGAGTTAAGATTTGAATTGATAGTCTCTTGACTTCCAAATTTGAATTGATAGTCTCTTGACTTCCAAATTAAAGAGTCATTTGAGGGGATGTTTTTCTCTTAAACCACAGTACTATCAAACAAGCCCACACATAATGATTCCTGGAGTACCGCTCGCAGAATTTGAGATGTATAATTACAGGTTAACAGGCTCATGCTCGCTGCCCACTTCCCAGCAATTCTGGCTTAGTGTCAACTTTATCTCTTCTTTCCTGAAAAGATTCAGCTCTTTCTTCTACCTCCTGCCCCTAGGAGAAGGTTAAAAAATATCATCCAGAAGCGGAAACAGGTAAAGAACAAGGGAAAGAAGCACACAGAGGCTCCAAAAAGCAGTGGCAGGCTGAGAGATCTCAGGTCAGGCTGGATTTCTGGGCATCTCAGACATGCATTTCACCTGATGTACCATTTCTGGTAACCATTTCCTAGCTATCCCCTTGCCATGCTCTCACTGTGTCCTCTAAGAAGGGACCCCGCTCAGTCAAGCCTGATGCAGCCCACCAAGCCCCAGCAGGATCGCAGTGACCCTGGCAGCCTCCTGCCCTCATACGGACCATACTCCTCGCTTCAGCTCCTCACTCGCTGCGCACGGATTGAGATATACCTGGATCCCTAGCTGGCAAAGAGCAGCTCTTACTGCCGACACGGGATGCTTCAGTGCACCATGCATCACCTCATCCCTGGCTTCCCAGGGTTTTTTCCAGTATAACTCTTGACTGGAGAACGCCTGGACAGCGCAGGATTAAGAGGCGTTTCCTCTCCCACAGCAGATGTGACTCAGAGGCACAGTGGTGATGCTAGGGTTCACTGGAGGGCATTTTACAGCCCAAAGAAGAAACATCTTCCTCCTCTACTGCTGCTTACTCATCAAGCACAAGTGAATCCCCAAAGGATCACAAAGACAGTAACTAAGAAACAAGCTAGCGCCATCTTTGACAAGAGGAACAGACAAAAGCAAGAAGGAGAGGGAAGAATCAGTTGCAGAGATGTAAGCTGGAGAAGCAAATCAATCGGGAAGAGCTACTTTGGAACCATGCTTCGTTTGAAACCTTAAAAAAAAAGTTACTCCAGCCCACATGTTAGTAAAATCCACAGTAAAATTAAGGGGGGGGAATAGCATATATAATATCTGTTCCCTTTATTTAGAGGCCTAGTGCCTAAGATGCTGTAAAGGTTTTAACAGATTAAATGCTACAACATTGCTATATGCTGCAATGTCGTCGTATTTTACACAGAAACAAACACCTGGAGGAAAAATGACTTGCGCAGAGTCACTGCCTCCCACTGCCCACCCTGTACAGGCTGGTTTGGAACGGAGATTTGCTCCTCTCTGTTCAGGGCTTCTTGGCAAAAATACTTCAGGAGCAACAGGGAGGCGAACCTTGTCCTCTGGTCAGAAAGAGAACTGCACTTCTAGAGCACAAGTTACATAGGCATCTTCCCTGCATCAGCAAACACTTTCACAAATCACAGCTTCACCAAGTCCTCCCCAGAGGCTTCAGCAGCGATGGGCTCCAGCTCCGAAGTCATTCAGCAAAGCCCTCATCGATCTCCCCTGCACAATTTGCACCCACACTTTACTTCATGTATAGAACATTAGATTTGCCAGAGAGGGAACAGTGAATGGGAAATTCTGGGACTATAATAATCTCCTCTGGGGTCCAGCAGGGGCCATTTCCCATTTCTAAACAGGTGAAGCAATGCCTTCCCCTCCCCTGACCTGAAACAGCTTCAGACTTGCACTGTCCAGGCTACCAGACTCCAGTCTTCAGAACAGCCCATCCTTTCGCCTGACGTGGATTTAGCATTGATACTGGGCGCAGTGGAATCAAGAGGTGGTCCATAAGCAACGCAAACAAGAACCATGCAGTAGAATATGAGAAATGCACAGGAGGAGAGAGTCAGAGGTGAAAATGACAGCAGTGTTTTCTAGGCTGCTGTCTCTTCCCCAGCACAGCACCGGCAGGAAAAGGTGTGACTCTCCCAGTGCGCAGAGGAAAGATGAAATGTCCTTACTGTAAGAATTATTATCAAGCCTATCCAGTAACAGGATAAAGCTACCTTCGGGAATTATTTGAACCCTTTGTGACTGAATTAAGATCTGTGCCCAAGGTACAACATAGTGTCTACAACCAAGAAACCCACCTCAAATGCGGAGGGGCAGGCCTGCTGGTCCTTTCTAATCTTTCTGCTTCTCACTGGGAAAAAAACCCCTTGGTTTGTGAAGCAGGATTTTTGGCAGAGCCTTAGGAAATCTGCTAGCTTCACTAGCTGGTTAATTGTACCTAAAGACTGAGGCTTTGACTTGTGTCCCAGTTAATCCCTCTGGAGCTCCCAGAGTACATCTTCTGCTACCCGCAGGAGACTATTCCAATATCCCACACTAACTGGGAGGGACGTGAATCAGAGCAGAAAGTCCTTGCTCAGGTGGAGCTATCCACGCCATTCCCTGCATTCCAGCCCCAGGGTAAGAACAACTTACCTTACAAGGGACAGGTACCACCACCACCATCGCTCCCGGGCCCACCAGAGGGCACAGAAGAACAAAGGGAGAGCACAGTCCAGCTCCCACACTCGCACACATCTCCCCGCGCGCCTCCCAGTTAGTTTTCTCACCGACCATTTTCCCCAGTACAGCCTGACCCAGCAACAAGTATCCCAAGCCCCCCAGCCCCTCCTTGGCAGGCCTCTGCCTCTCCTCTCTGCAGCCCCTCACCCAGGTATCTGGCTCCCCAGCACCCGCCACGAGCCTCTTCTGTGGGCTTAAATTATTTCCTTCCTATGGAGATGTGAAGCTGGGAGTACCTGACACTTACATTCCCCCTCCTTCCCCTCTTCGGTGTCTGCAGCTTTATCATTTGGTATAAAACTGCCAAATTGCAATAACCCATGTTATTAGGTTTTTTCACGCAACAAAAGGTAAGGTATTTAGAGCATGTCCACAGGAAGAGCTTAAGCCAGCAAAAAGTCTTCAGCTTTAATGCTACAGGACTAAAGAAAGAGGCTCAGGGCAAGTAATGTGTTTTAGTGGCATTATAAAGAATCAATTAGTATCCATACATCTACCCAAAACATTAACTGTAATTTTCAGTGATTCTTTGAAACTTCAGCCAGTTAAAACCACATTGAAAAAAAAAATCCATATACAAAAGAAACATTTTACTTTTAATTTTTATATA